CACTGTTGACTTTGGATACTCTGCTTTAAGCGATCCTCATTTATTACTATTAATACTGCTCTCATTTTTTTAGTTTAAAGCTCCATATTTTCTTCTTCTTCTGTGTTTTATTTAAAGTATTGATCCATCAGAAGATATAAAAACCATCTCCTCTCTCAGGCTTCTCTCTGCAGCTCTAGTAACAACAGGTCAGTGAGCCAATCAGAAGAGAGGAGGCTCTGAGCCTCTCTTCTGATTGGCTGACTGTTTTCTGAGTGATCCAATAAAAATAAAGCAGATTTCAGGTAAAAACACTCAGAGAAACCAAATCCTGCAAGGTTTGGATGGTGGGTCCAGGTGGGCGGGGCTTGGTGACTGCTTTGTTGTGACATCACAAAGTTCCAGAAGTCCTGACGGCTGGTTTTAAGGCTCAGTTTCTGAATACAGGCTGTGTGCATTTCTCTGTGGACTGAGGCTTTGATACTTTCACAGTATTAATATAGAAGCTAGAGCTGATCTATAATCACACTACACATGGACACAGACCTTTACACTGGAGGAGCTTTAATTGTGACTCCACAGTGTAAAATGGCTAAACTCAGTGCCTGAATACAATATGTCCGTGCACAGACTCACAGAAAGAAGTCTTCCTCCTCATCTGAATCCTCTTCCAGCAGGTTCCTCTGTAAAAAAGGAAAAGGTCAGAGGTCAGATGAGGATAAGCTCTGGATGTTGAATGAGGACTGTCTGGAGGGGAGCTGGGTCGACTGGGGCAGTGAGGCTGGAGAAAAATGGGACAGTGTCTTCACTAAGCTTTCCTCCTGTTCTGGGGCCAGTGTCCGTGTCGGGACTGGGAACCACCACACTGATTTTCAAACTTTTTTCATTCTGGTTGCCTGGTAACAACTATGGGTTTCGGTGGTGATGACATCGCCCTGCCACCTACAGTGTGTCACTCATCCCTTGGTTGTGGACAAAGACGAACAGGTTTAAAGGGGACAGAATAAAGTATTGTTGGGTTTGAAATGTTTCCAGATCCGGTTCAAACCAGCACCAGAACCAAACCCTCACAACACAGAGACAACACTGTCACAGAGCTGATGTGCAGATCAATAGGAGCTTTTTCAGAAGGCAGAAATGGACAAAAGCATTATTATTATTAAACTGCACTTAGGACATTATGACTAACAATAAAGGTCTGTTGTCTCTGCTGCTCTGTTTGCCAAACCTCAATAAAAACTCTTCCTCCTCTGAAAGACTCTGAAACGTCCAATCAGTCTGCTGAGAACCTAAAATGGACATTCACATTGTGGTAGAAGAACAGAGGCATTTCTGATATCTTCAGGCAGATTACCTCCCAAAAACACTGCTATTCATAGAGACTTAGTGAGGACAGCTGCATTAAATCATCACAGGAGGAGAGAGTCAGAGTCTGTTCTTCACTGGATGGCAAACAGCCAGAATATATTCTGCTACTGGGAAAGAAAGCTCTGCATCTTTACTTGAGATTATTGAAGGATGGAGGCAAACACTGCGTGCCTACAGCATGCTGGTGCACGGGTTTGGGAGCAGCATTAATCACGTTTAGATTACAGGAGGCAGAAGTAGTTTAGACACTGAAATCCCTCCAGGCTGCTGCAGTCAAACTCAAGAGGAGAGTTTAGTGTCACTCACAAAGACAATAAATTCTTGCGGCCACATAAGTTGAATCTCCAAACCTTGAGTCATGGTAATCACATCTACCATCCATGGCCCCCTCGAGGAAACCCCGCAGATGTCCAGCTGCCAGTCCATGCCATGCCAACAGAGACATTTATTTTCTAGTAAATACACTGTCATCTGCTAAAAGGCTGCGGCATGGAGGCCACATGATCATAAAGAACTTTATAAGTGGAGGCTCTAACAGCCTCCTCCTGTGCGACCTCTTTCTTTCTTTCCACTGCCTGGGATGGGAAACATGAAGGGAGCTGTTATGTATTATCAGAGGCTGGGGGGGGGGGGGGGGGGGGGGGGGGGGGCATGGTAGGTGGAAAGGGTCATTTTGTTCTCCCCGTAAGCTTCTCTTTGATCCCAGTTCAACATAAAAATGAATAAGATTACACAGAGGAAACAGAATAAAGTGAAGGATCAGCGAGAGGACATGGGGGGTGGGGGAGGAGGTGGAAGAATGGGGTGGGGTCAGGGGTGATGTCTCTGATTAAAACCAGACATTTGGCCACAGGAGTTCCTTCACTTCATCCCCCCCCCCTTCAGAGGTTTCTCCTTTTCTTCTCCCTCATTATTAGTTCTAACAGCAACATCTGCATCTTCGACCAACATCTGTTTCTGACTGAGATGTTTTGATAAAATGAAATCCAGTGGACTTCTATGATAAAAGTGATCAATAGATTCATATGATACAGAATTAATCTCACAGCTTTCGACCTTTTCTGACTCTGGACATGTTTATTACATTCTCTCACTGTCCTCTACGTCCTGACGATAAATCCTTCCGTCTGTGTCTCACCCTCTCACTGCGAATAGATCCCGTGACCTCGTCGTCATTCAGGTGTCGTTTAAACTTGGGGGGCATGTTGGCTTCAGACTGCTCCTCCCGATCTGGCTCCCTCTGCAGGACAGAAGGAGAAGATTCGTTAGGGCCTGCGGCACTGTGGAACAGCCTGAACACAAACATTCGGACACCTGCACTCAGTGTTGGCAGCCTGCTGAGTGAGAGCACTTTAACACTGGTAGGTGGAAGTGATTGGAATCACAGGCAGAGCTGCAGCCAGCTCGTGTCTGGGAGCAGAGTGTGGAGAACAAAGGACAAAGTGTATGAGCTGAGTGAGACTGTAAATCTAAACTTTACTCATGACAACAACATTCACTGGTTTAGTAATGATTGCATAAATGAAACTGGTCATCCTCAAGGAATCTGAGGAGGACTCAGACGCTTCCTGTTAGACAGGCTGACTTTGTTATGAGTCACAGAGCTGACTTCTTTCATTTCCTCTGCAGTTTAATTTTCAGATGGACCATGTAAAGACACCTGCTGTCTGTAAAAACGGTTTGATTCCTCATCAGCTAACAGAAACACAAGCCTTATGAAGATATCCTCTCAAGATGTCTTAATTCTTAATATTTATGCAGTCAGTCTCTGAGCTGTGAAAGGAAATGTCATCATCGCTCTGTGTGCCTTTGGGTGAAGAACTCTACGATGTCAGATGTGGAAAACACACTGTTCCTCCATTGACACCCCCTTGAGTGTGTGTTTGGGCGTTACATGTTCCAAACAGGGCGACAAAACACAACAGTAAAGCGCCTCTGTGACACTGAAGTGAACAACATGTGATCCTCAGGCCTGAAGGTAATCACCAGACACACACACACACACACACACACACACACACACACACACACACACCACTCTCAGTCCTACAATACAACTTGTACCATTGAATCCAGTTCAGTCTGACACTGAGGCTTTCTCAGCAGCGTCCTTCTCTGGCACTGCTGAAGGAAAAAGACCTGACAGTGTCCAGGAGAGGAGAGGACGTGTCCAGTTAACAGAGGAGGAGCAGGGGACAAGGCTCTATCTGAAGCAGCGACAGCATGAAGAGACACAGAGAGAGACAGAGAAGAAGAAGCAGGTCTAACAGGTTAGGGCTGCAGAAGGATGACAAGTCTATTACAAGAGAGGGATTTTAAAAAGGTACAAATCCATAAAAACAGTGTTAGATTCACATTAAAACTACAGACAGTGTGATGCCAGGGTAGGTTCTGTCAGTTTCTGGATTGCAACTTTAAATACATACTAATGTAATTTAATGCTAATGCAAATCTAAACTACTCTGTCTAAGAAAAGAGAAAACACAGGATGCAGCCTCTTCTGAGGAGTTTGGCTATTTTTAACTGAATACTGATTTTTTGACTAATGTAAAAGCTTTAAGGTCCAAATTAAGTCTCCAGAGAAGAGCTGGTATGAAAATGAATGTGACATCTCTGGAGCACAGCTGGAATCACATCATAGCCTCTGGTAGCTAGCTGGCTGAGCTGCTTGTTAGTCACAATTAAACAGCAAACACGGCAGAATGTCGTAGTGTACGACGCTTGAACAACACGCTGCTCCACCACAGTGATTAAAGAAGAAGAATCACCATCTCTGACGTTAACACGGCTAACTACATGCGAATTTCTCTGTTTCAGACAGGCCGCTTGGATCACTGAAAAAATTAGCTACCCCGCTAAGCTAAGCTAAACTAAGCTAAGCTAAGGATGCTAACGCGGCTAGCTACCTGCAGCTGTCCCACAGGATCCGACCCTCGATGCTGGTGAAGACAAACACGCAGAGACTCGGGTGTTAGTCCGGGGGGGTTTCAAGCTTCTCAGTGGCTTTTACGGGTTTGTGTGATTCATTTCAAACGGATGTCCGGGCGATGAGACGGGATTGTCATTATGGATGCTAGCAGTCGGCTTCCCCCTCAGTCTGAATCAGCTGACCGGGAAATGTACACAAACAGCTGGAGGAGAGAGGTGCTGCAGATGTGTGACACAAATATTTTATTTCATCGTCATTGTTTTTCTTTAGGCAGAAAATATTCCAGCTGCTCATAGAAATATACAACTCTCAGACTACTGAAAATAAATACACGTTTATTTGAGTAAACCTTCTATTTATACTTGACTTGAGTATTAACTCATATTTTATGCTACTTTTATTTTTTAATGTGAGAAGGAAATATTGTATTTTTACTCCAGTTAATTTATTTGATAACTAAAGCTGCTGTTAATCACTATTTTATAAGTACTTAAGTATTATAATATATATTAGGAGCTATTTTTGCTTCTAATACTTTAAGCACATTGTGCTTCTTGTGTCATTTTACTTTAATAAAAATCTAAATTCATGGCTTTTATTTAAATTGCAGACTTTTGACGCTGATGTACCTAGTTTTATTTAAATAAAATATCTGAATATTCCTCCACCGCCTGTTTTAGGGAGGTTCTGTGCCTCACCTGTAGATGGTAGCAGCGCGCCAGACGTGCATCTATCCCGCCTGAATTGGACCGTAGAGGAAGAAGATAAACTTTTACCGGAAGAGAACACACGCTCAGCGACCAGTTGGTAAGCCGCGTGTAAATCAGGCTGCATTTATGAATTAACGGTTGTGTCCTCAGAGACAGTTTCATGTTTTTAACGCTGGAGTTCTTTGTGTACCTACAGGTTGAAGGTTGAAACCGGCCTCCGTGGTTGTTCTCCTCCTCCCGAGCCGCTCACCGTCCCCACAGAGAGATGCAGAGTGCCGGAGGCGGCGCCGAGCAGCTTCACCCTCCTCACCCGCTGTTCGGAGGAGCGCTGTCCGCTGTCATCCCCCGCAGCGCCACGGACATCAGTGAGCTGAGGGAGATCCCGGACAACCAGGAGGTGTTTGCTCACGCACACACCGACCAGAGCCTCATAGTTGAGCTGGTGGAGTACCAGGGGCAGGTGGCAGACCAGGACTCCGCCAGGTATCACTTTGAGGACATCGCGGGCAGTAACAAATCTCTGGAGCCAGGTGCTTTTGAGGTGACTAGCGTTGTGGCTCTTCCCAAATCCGATGTGTCCCTGTCAGAGTGCAGCTCAGCCTGGACGCTCACTGGCACACAGTGTGTATCCAAGTTCAACGAAGAGGCGAGGAACACAGTGACCCTTCACCTGGGGCTGTTCCGCCTGCCCCAGTTCTCCACAGAGGTCCTGATCACCTTCAATGACCCGCAGAGTATCAGCCCTGACAGCAGCAGTGCAGCTGCTGCGGGGACACACGGGGTGCCGTGGACGGTGCAGGACTTCCAGCGCTTGTTGCAGACTCTGACTCTGCACAACCCTGGGCTGTTTGGATAGAGCAACTGCTGCTGACCTCATAACCACCAAGACATCTAGTCTCTCTCTGTGACACAACCCTAACCCTAGCTCTGTGACAGGCCACAGTAAACCCTCTAGGACTGTGTTTCTCTAGGGGCCCCACAAGCATCTGGCCTGAGGCATTCTTTGGGTCCCAACAGTTTTGGAAGCGGCCCTTCTCCTGCCCTGACACAGGAGTTCATGTTCTGTTCTGCCTTTAATGTTGACTTTGTTTAAGCAATTAAAATGAACTGACAGCTCAATGTCTCATGATGTAATTGAGTTGTGTCATAATAGAAGTTTTAGAGGAAAAATCTTGGACTTTTTCATTATCTTTTGCTAATTAAGATGTTTGTAGGTTGAATGTGTTTTTTTTTTTGGGCTTTTTGTGCCTTTAATGGACAGGACAGTAGAGAGACAGGAGCTGGGGAGGCAGAGAGAGGGGGAACGACACACAGGAAAGGGCCGTCCGATGTGGGAGTCGAACCGGGGGCCAGCTGCAGCGAGACTTTAGCCTCTATATATGGGGCGCCTGCATAACCCACTGCGCTATGCGATTGAAAATGATCTGTACTGGGGGGATCTAACTCCAACAGATAAATAAAATCACATTGTTGTTTTTCAAGGCATTTCTGTTACCTGTGAAGGTGTGCACCTGAGAGAAATGTGAGATTTGAGACAAATAACAAATGTCAGACATTTGATTTTCCACCTGTTTCCCACCACATTCCCCTTCGCCCAGCCTTCTCCGCCCCACTCAAGCATTTCCTCCCTCCACCCTTCTGCCTGTCTTCTTTTATTTCACTCCAAACTACTGCCACCATCCTCAGGTGTGTTTTCATGCAGACACATGCTGACACATTCAGCTGACAAAGAGCAGAACCACAAACTTCACAGGCCACCAAATGTTCATTTAATAACACCCAACTTTGTGCTGCACTGCTGAGATCTCCATATTGTTTTACAGTGACATGGTAATAAAGAGTAATAGTAGAGGTCAGAAGGTTGGGGGTGAAATGAGATGCTTCCCTCCGGTGCAGTTAAAACACAGGTAATATTCATGGATCCTCAGTGTCTTCAGTCGGACTTAGGTTTGGTCATAAACAGTGAAAATGGAGAGGGCGAGTCCCAGCAGGAATATGTATTAGACTGTTTCCATCATTGACTGCAGTGGCCTCATGATGGAATAATTCATTATCCTGAAACTTGGAGAGGCCAGTTTGGTGAAGAAGAAAATTTATGGAATAAGAAATGGACTTTATTAATCGTGGCTTTGAAGTTCAAACCAGCCCTTTCAGATGCAAGTCTCAAGCCATTTTCCCTCAGTTACATGTGCAGCTACTTGAAGAAAAATGGCTGCTGTTGAATAAAACTCCTCAACTGGGGAATTCAGGTAAGTCTTGCATAACAAACAAGAGGAAGCACAGTCTGTCTCCCCAAAGCCACATCAAACCCTCCTCATCCTCTGGTGCAATCATGACGGATTAAGGTCTCATGAAGTCAGGCATCCTTCCCTCTCAGACGTCCCGGCGTAGCACATTCCTTCATTAACCACGAATCCACGGTGTCACAACGTCTCCTCCTGCCTACCTCAGACAAACACTCATATTTGTTCTGTTTGTCATAAAATCTGCAAACATCCTGTCTGACCTGATGAGCGGGAAAGGTTTTTGTCTTGTGGGTCACGTCTTGTTTGTCCAGGTCCTGACAACAGTCTATAACAGAGAGGCTGCTGGGCTGCCTGTGCTGCAGCAGTCTCAAACTATCTGGATCATGAAACCTCTAATAGCATGAGAATAAAAGAATGACTGTTTCTGTTGTTTCAGTTGAAGGAGAAAAAAATGGTAATGGTGCAGAGATTCCTACGGAGACTGAGTTTATTGAAGATGTAGTTGTGTGGAACCAGTGGCAGACTTCTTGTTCTTGTGAGCTTAAAAAAATCTTACATGAAGTTTTCTGCACCTCTGTTGCCATGAGAAACAAGTTAATCATAATGTCCGAGGTTCAAATCATTTCATTTTTCCCTTAAAAATTGTGTCTCTTTGTGAAACATATGTAGAAACATGTTGAAATCTCATGTACCAAATTAAAAAACAGCTGTTGTAAATTCTAGTAAGTGTCTGTGGTTAGAACTGGAGCATGTATCACAAGAACCGAGGACTGATGTTGATCCACATGTTGCACAAAGGGCAGAATGGCATTAGCAAGAGCAGAGGAAACTGTCCACAGTCAGAAAAACCATAAAACTGCTTTTCTTTTAGAATCCAACATCGTAAATCTGAAACCTTTCAACTCTGTGAAATGCAGAGGCTGAACGCTGCAGCTCTGACAGTACCAGTGTTTTCTCTGAGTCACAGAGGAAGAGGAGGGATGCCTCCACAGCGCCGTGTCTTTGACCTCTAGTGACCTGAAGTCTGACACTCATCTTCCATGTTCTGCTAAAAAACCCTCGTCTGACAGGTGAAGTGACGTCTCAGTGATGAAGACAAATCCAGTTTTCCTGTTCTCACAACAACTGGCTGCTTCCTGACCAGAGCAGAGTCTAAGCCAACAGGTCCAACACTTCATGACCTGCAGCAGCTACAGCGTCACTTTTCAGCAACAGGGTTTAATCTGTTGAATAAAGCCGATGAAGCGTTCAGTGAAACACGAGGACTCGCTTCAGTCTTCTCTCTCACTCACAGGACAAGTCTATCTGGTTCATCTGGGAAGCATCAGTCACAGGTGTGTGCATAGTTCCTGCTCAGAGACTTCCAGCTCCAGGGTCATTTATTACCCAAACCCCCCTGTTATCACTGTTGTGTTTGCACCCCTCTCCTCCCTCAGAGACCCCCCCCCCACCTCCCCTCTCTTTGGACTCCAGCCTGAACAACCCCTTGCCAAGTCCAGGAGCCAGTCTGCTGCTCTCATCAGGACCCTGGAGCCCCCCCCCCCATTTTTAATGTATGCTCTTCTTTAAGTCTGTCTTTGTCAGTCTTACACTTTCCACTGTGGAACAAAGGAAAAGAACAGTCTCTGCTATCTTTTCATATTACCTGGAAGATATTCTTCACCTGCTCGGCTGATAAAAAACTGCAGTCAGCGTGTAAGAGAAAGTGAAATTAGAAATTTAGAAATGAACGCAAGGTTTATTAAAAACAAGGGAAAACAGACTGTTTTGTGCAGGAGCTTTTCTACTGCAGATTCCACAAGTAGACGTGTGACACACGGCTCTACTCTTCTGGCCAACGGTAGGAAAATGTCACATTATCAAGGAGTTTCCTCTGGACGCTCGAATCTGATGATCTGAGGTTTAATACAGCAGCTGAAGCTGGACTTAATCCTGCTGCTTCTTCTTCTTGCTCTGTGGTGAGGTATTGTTGGCTTGAGAGAAGTGCGCAGACATGGCAGCCAGCGCCCGGTAGCGGTGAGAGATTGAATTCTTCACTTCTTTAGGCAGTTCAGCGTAGCTGCAGACGAGAGGGAGGGGAGTAATAATGAGTGTAACGGTAATAATGATCAATAACCTCAGATTAACACACCGATGAACCTCAGTAATTAATGGATGCACAGTACAAAGTAAAAGAGATCGTCACAATAATGTGTGTTGGTGAAACTGTCACTGAAGTGCAATTCAGTCTATGTGTCCACAGACGGTGTGTTAACCTCTGACTCCCCCTTGTGGTATGAACTGGGAGTTCAAGCACAGCCCTCACTCACGTTTTGTCGTATCCGTCCGGCTGGAAACATGGATCCCATCCAAAGTCCCGAGGACCCCGGGGCTCCACAATGTGCCCCTAAAAATAGAGAGAGTAAGTAGAAAATAAATAACACACACACACACACACACACTGAGAGAGAGGGAGATTCTGACCTCTGTTTTCCCTCTGAACAGCTGTACTGGTTCGTCCTTCCCAGCACTGAAGGCGAAAGTGCAGAGAGCCCAGGCTGATTTATCTTCGAACCCAGCCAGGAGTTTATACAAGCCTACAACAAAACAGTGAACACCATGAGAGCAGCTGCACGCTCACGATGCTGTTCCATCCAGCTCTACAGATCTGTGGTACAATCACTCTGCAGCACTTCATTCATCACCACACTCACCTTCTGGCTTCAGTTTATCCAGGAACCATTTTCTACACAAACAAAGTTTATTTGTAATTATTACTGTTGATTATCACTGATACAGATTAAATGGCTCGATGGATGAAAAGGTTGTTTTACTAACATGTAAGGACCAGGTAAGCCTCCTAAAGCCGTGAAGCACAGACAGGTGTCCTCCACTATGACTGGCCCATCAATCTGAGGGTGACAAACACACACACATAGATCAGCGTCTGTCAATCATCCTACACATGTAAACACCGTTAGTTACCTGAGTGACAGTGGAGTCACTGTACCTGCCGTGCAGCCTCCTTACACTTGTGTATGGAAATCTCATCTGGCTCTCCCTGGTACTCAGGCACTGGATGAAGAAACAGACATTTTATTACATATTTATTCCTTCCCTTAACACAGGCTACTGCAGCCGTAGCCAACGCCAAAACAACAAACCATGACTGGGTCCACAGAGTAATCTCAGCGCCATCAACTGACTTCAACAACTCCCGCCGCAGACCTGCTCCCACTCCCCACCTGACAGGAACAACTACCTGTCCCCCACACTCTCAGCCAATCACAGGTACGTGGTCTCACACCAGTCACTGTCATAGGTTGCTGAGATAACTGACAGAATTCACAGCCTTTAAGCATAAAACACATTCACTGACAACCTGTAAAACTCAGTATCTGCAGTTATGAGCCATTTCTACTGAACTTAACAGTCTTAACAGTCACCCTCTGACAGAGCAGTTACCAGTCCGTTACACTAGGTTCTGCTGGCGGTCTCTCTTTTGATTAGGGCTGAACCACATGTAGGAAAAAAGTCATATCATGATTATTTTTAGCAGATTTTGCGATTCTGCATTTTGTTTTCACGATGTTTCCTTGTGTCTGGAGGAAAAGACTCAGTAGCAGCACAGTGCTTCCTGTAGGACCTGCTGTGACACATTTTACCTTTATTATAAAAATGCAGCTCCTGTGATTTGGATATCGCAATTTTTAAAATAATATTTCGATTAACTGTTCAGCTCTCATTTGGATACTTACAGTCAATCTTCTTAGACACCAGTTTGTAGGGAAACCTGTCTCCCAGGATCTGAATGACCTGCAGGACGTGGAGGGAAAACAGAGACGGATGGATCTATTATATCAACTGTTGACGGGTGAAACATGAGAGCTGTGGATTAGATTACAGCTCGTGCTCGGCGCGGATATTTAACGAGCACAGTCTGGAGAAGATCCGAGAAGATCAAAAGTCTCTAAACTAAACCTGAACCTTTGATTCTCACCTCTTCCAGTTTTTTCGCGTTTCCAGTCACGAAGACCACGGACCGTCCAGCCTGAACAGCCATGATGGGCGACCACCGGACGACTAACGATGCCGGACCGGAAACTTCCGGTTTAGCTCCGGCCAATAAAATCCGCTCTGACAGCCTCAGCGAATCTCCGGGCAGTGGCGGTGCTGCCAGACACACTCCAGTCCAGCAGGTGGCGGTAATAAACCAATTCGTTGTTTGCTACCCGCCAATAAACTTGAAGGAACAGGAAGAAGAAGGAGCGGTCCTGCCAACAATGTCGTCCGGGTGGAACAGTCAGTGTGAAGTGCCATGTGGAGGAATGGCTGTAAACAGGCTGTGACTCCGTAAACCGACACGTTAAGAGGTGATTTAACCGCTTCAGTCGACGATGAGTCTGTTACCGCGCTCCGCGGAGGAGTTCAGCTCCGCAGAGTACTGGGAGAAGTTCTTTAAGAAGCGCGCGGAGAAAGCTTTTGAGTGGTACGGAGACTACAACAAACTGTGCGGCGTCCTGCACAAATACATCAAAGTGCACGATCAGGTAAAGGTGTAGAGCGGGTTATTACAGGTACAGATACACAGAACACCTGGGTCGATAGGACATTACTGTTGTCATTCACTTGCTGCTAACTTGTATGTACAGGTGTATAAGTGTCAGGACTGACAGTAAATGTTTCGCCTTGTGTAGTTGCTGTGCTTCCTGTCTGATGGCTGGTGGGAGAAGTATTCAGATACTTTAACATACAATAACACAGTGTCAAAATCCATTATAAAAGCAGTCATGCATTCTCACGTCAGCAACAATATAGTGGATCAGCATTAATGTACTTGAAGTGTCAAAAATTATTCATCATGCAAAAATATGGCCTGAGTTATAATGTTATAATATTTAACCTTACGGGATTGTTGATATTACTGTATTAATGTGAGATTAGTATTTTACTGTTCTAGATGTTCAATCTGTCTAATGTTTATACTTTTGTGTAGTTAAATCTACGAAAATAATTCATTCTTTAGAAGTGCCATCAGTTTTGCATGTTAAATGTCAATCTGCAAAGTAACCAGCAGCTATAGCTGTCAATTAAATAAAGTGGAGTAAAAAACATCCTGTATTTTGCAGTTAAATGTAGTAAAGGAGAGGGAAATACTCAAATAAACTACAAGTATCTCAAAACCTCTGTGACAATAACTGAGAACATCTCTGTCCTTCAGGTGCTGGTGGTCGGTTGTGGGAACTCTGAGCTGAGTGAACAGCTGTATGATGTCGGCTACAAGCATCTGACTAACATTGACATCAGCGAGACAGTGGTGAGCCACATGAACCAGCGAAACGCTGAGCGCCGGCCAGGCTTGACCTTCCAGCAGGTGGATGCTACACAAACTCCATATGAGGATGCCAGCTACCAGGCTGCTCTGGACAAAGGCACGCTGGACGCCATGGCATCTGAAGAGGAAGGAATTCTGGCCAGGAGCATGCTCACTGAGGTAATAAACCAATGATCTGCGTGGTCAGCGTGCATCTCTGCGTTCTTCTCACAGCAGTGTCCTTGTGTCTGCAGGTGGGCCGTGTGCTAAGTGTCGGGGGCCGGTACGTCTGTGTGACTCTGGCTCAGGAGAGTGTGATCAGATTGGCTGTGGAGCACTTTGTTCAGCTGGGGTGGGCGGTGCGGCTCCACTGCCTGCAGGAGGAAAGTGGAAAAGAAGAGGACTCCTTCGCTCTGCCCGTCTTTGTTTTGGTCTGCACCAAGTTTCGTCAGCCCATGCCCACACCTGTTCTGGAGATGTGTCTCGGGGAGGATGGTGCCCCAGCGCGGCTCACACAGGTGTCAGAGTTGTTGTCGGCGGTGAGGGAGCATCAGGCCTACTCTGTCCTGAGAAAGAGGCTCCGCACAGGCACAGACGCCAGCTCGAACCTGTCGCTCACACTCTGCCACACCAAGACTGGCCTCCCCAGATACACTCTCACAGTGCAAGACTGTTCCCCAGGAGCCAAGGTGCCCAGATCAAACCACTTTGCTATATTTATTGGTGAGCTCTCCTGTTGTCTCATCATTTTCCCACCTTCCTATGTAGGTCACACGACTCTGATCCTCTCTGACGGTTTTCGTTGTCTGATTCCTTCTGTCAGTGCCTCAAGGCAGCGAGACAGCTTGGCTCTACAGCTCCACTGAGGGGCGCAGGCAGCTGGCGGCCAGCGCTAACTTTCGACGCCTGATCGTTGTGGCAATGCACCGGAATCAGGAGTACACAGACATGCAGGCTGTCCAGTCAGAGCTCTCGCCGATGGTGATGGACCTGGCTCCTCGGGGTATGCCAGCCAACCAGCAGGTAAACACTTTAATATAATCAATCATTCCACCTGGATAAGTGCATCATTGTATTACTTTAAGCTCTCTCTCTCTCTCTCTCTCTCTCTCTCTCTCTCTCTGTCTCTGTCTCTGTCTCTCTCTGTCTCTCTCTCCCTCTCTCTCTGTCTCTGTCTCTGTCTCTGTCTCTCTCCCTCTCTCTCTCTGTCTCTCTCTCTTTCTCTCTGTCTCTCTCTCTCTCTCTCTCTCTCTCTCTCGCTCTCGCTCTCTCGCCCTCTCTCCACCCAGGTGCCCTTTCTGTCAGTAGGAGGCGACCTGGGATGGCGAGAGGAGGTCAGCAGGGGTGTGAGTGAGCTGAGTGGAGAGTACTGTGTGGAGAATGTGAAAGGGGAAGACGGAGAGATGTACCGCAGACTGGTTTTCCTGTCTAATGCTGCCCTTGTCCAATCAGAGAGCCGCCTTGTCTCCTCCAACACCGGTCAGTTCGTCTTCCTCTTCTCATTCAGTATATTATGATCTGCAGTTAATTAACCAGTTAACAATTACCAACAACACATATACATTTATGCAAATTATTTTTTACAGTTTACAAACAAAAGGATCCTGTCACAACAGTCAAAACAAACAAACAACCAAAAAAAAAAGACAAAAAACTGGAGTAAACAATGAAAAGGAAAATCCTCTCTAATGGTTTTCTTTAGGATGTAAATGGTGGAAATAAAAGACTCTGTGTCTCTGCAGCTTCGAGTCACAAGAAGAAGAACAGAAAGAAGGCCAAGCCAGCAGCTCCACCAACAACATCCTCCACCTCTCTGTCCGTGGACAGTGGCTTCCTCTGCTGCGCTCACCATGAAGTCATGGTGGCTGGTCTCTCCATGCTTGGGGTGGGCACGCCGGAGAACAAAGGTCAGTTCACGCTCATTTTGTACAGTGTAGTCAATGTGGGAGAGGAGCAGCTTTCCATCGTCTCTGTCTCTGATGAGCTTTACCTTTGACTTGTCTGTCCCCTCTCAGGCGTCCCAGTGTCAGTGCTCCTGGTGGGACTTGGTGGAGGAGGCCTGCCTCAGTTCCTGCGGGACTTTGTGCCGGATGTTACTGTCGAGGTTGTGGAGCTAGATCCTGTGGTGCTGGAGGTGGCGAAGGAATGGTTCGGATTCAGACCAGACGATCGTTTGACTGTCACTCTTGGAGACGGCCTTGAGCGCATCTCTGTCCTGGAGAAGGAAGGTGAGTGCTCCAGGTGGACAGGTGAGAGAGCGGAGAGTATGAAGATGGTCAGAGGAGGAAACATCAGAGAGACTCAGCCACATGTTTGATCCTCAGTCAGACCCAGTCTCAGAGTAGGAGTCTGTTGTTCGTTGACAGGATTGGTTCCTGAGGTTTGTGACGTATGAAACTCTGAATGTGTGTCTGTGAGACTGTCATTGGTTGACTGCAGCTCAAGGTGGAAACACTGAGTCATGGTGATGATGATTATTGGCTCATGATGTGTCTTGTATTTTATAAAAACACCATGTGAACATGTTAACAAGGTCAATCACCTGATTTTCATTGGAGGGGTCTTTAACCTAGAAGTGACTTTGTTTCTCTGCAGGTGGTTGTGTGTTTGATGTCGTCATGTTCGATGTAGACAATAAAGACAGCACTGTGGGTATGAGCTGCCCCCCCGCTGCCTTTGTAGAAACCTCCATCCTGAAGAAAGTGAGCAGCCTGTTAACCCCCAGAGGTAAAGTCTCCTTCATGATTTCTTTGTCTCGAGCTGCTGGAATCTGTCAGCTGTTCTGTAAAATCATGTCAATCAGTGTTTTGGTATAAGATCATGAATATTAAAAGATACCTGTTGATAAGTTAAGAAGACGATCGATAAACTTCATAAACAGCTTTTTGTTTACCGGTCTCATTCCACATGTAGAGTCTTTTTTGATAGAAATACTTACCTGTAATTTACTCATTTCTCCCTTTTTGCCCCTCCCCCATCTCAACCAGGTGTATTCATCCTGAACCTCGTGTGTCGTGACTCGGTCTTGAGGGAAAGCGTGCTGCAGCGTGTGAGCGCCGTGTTTCCCGCCATCCTCTCTCGAAAGATTGAAGGGGAGGTCAACGAAGTCCTTCTGTGCTCTCGTGGAGAAAAGGAGACGTCGGATGGCGCCCGCATCCTGACATCCCTGAACCAAGCAGCCAAGAGTCTGCAGAGCGCACTGGGCTCTGACCGGACCGGAACCAGCCGCAGGCCACATATAGACATTGTAGAGCTGTTAAAAGACCTGAGAGTAGAGTGACGTGTGAAGGGGGTTTAATGAGACTGATTTTATTAAAAATCTCTTTTCTCTGAGAGACCTGAGAACAGGAAGCAGAGACAATGAACAACGAAGACAACACACAACTAAACAACACAAGAAACTGACAAAGAAATAATGAACATTTACAGTGGTCATAAGATACATCAAATAATAAAGCTTTAAAATCTCCAAGGGAAAAGTCAGAGTCTAGCCTGAGGGCAGTGTCCAGTTCATTACATTTACATGGTGCAAAGTACCTGAAACCAGTTGTGCCAGTATGAGTGTGAACCTGAGGCTTGGGCAGTTACTGATCTGTGGACACTGGATTTCAATGGGAGTTTGAAGCTTTAACAGTAGATCTTTATAAATGAATAACATGAGAAGTTTCCTCCTGACTGTAGTGAGGTCCAGCCCACGGTGCCACGCAGAGAACAGTGATGAGTCCGGTATCTGTCGTGTGTGATAAAGCGTAATAAACTATGATGCACCGGAGCAGAATATCTCCACAGTGCAGGACAGACATGAAGGTGGACTGCACAGTAGTTGTACGGCTGGAGGAAGACAGACGTTCTTTAATTCTGTACAAGGAGCCAAGTTTGATTTTTAATTCCTGAGTCAAGTGTTGAATATGAACCTTATATGACAAAAGTCTGTTGTCGAGCCAGATTCCTCAGTATTTGTATGAATCAGTGAAGGTGATGTGAGGAAGTTTTAATGACAGGATGGTCAGAGTCTCTGGTGGATGGACCTTTGTCTGCATTTAAGACTCATTTGTGATTAAGGAGGAGACAGTTGGAAGTCATCACAAGCAGACTGAAGAGAAGCAATATGATGTAAAACATTCTATCACAAGTATTTTATCTTTACATCTTAATGTGGTGCCTCTACAAAAAATGAATTCCCAGTGCCATTAGTTATTGAGCATTTGTTATTATTATTATTATTAGTAGTAGTACTATTATTATCATTGTTAGTATTATTATTATTATTATTATCATAATCATTATTATCATTATTATTATTATTATCATCATCATTATTATCATTATTATTATTAATTCGTCGTTAAATGTAGGCTTTAGTTTGTCTTCCACTTTAGTTTCCACTGTAGTTACTACATGGTGCTCAGTTACTCCCTCATTGCCAGAGAATGCAGCCGTGTTATTTACAGTAGATGAATGTCCACTCTGGTTCTAGTGGCGGTGTTTATAGGGCTGCACGGAGCCCCGCCCCTCTGGATGTGTAGCTCAGAGGAGCGAACGCTCCCCGGTGTCTGGTGAATCTGGGTACTTTCATTAAGTGGTTTAAGAAGTTTGTCTGTCTTCTGCGTGAAGGGGGTTTCACCGAGCTAAAGTTGCTGACCACCGCGCATGCGCTCCAAAGTGGATTCCGTTAGCTGTCAAAGTAGAAGGTTTTCCTCCGTGTCCACGGACCAAACTCGGTTTAGCTAGCTCCTCTAATGTGTCCCGGGTTTGAGGGAAACGACACACCGCGACGTTTTGGAGTTTTAAATAACCACACGTGTCCACAGCGAGCTGTTTTCGGAGACTTGCGGACCGTGAGGACTAACTTGGAGTCTACCGTCCGTTACCGCCAGCTCTAACGGTAACGGACTAACGGCTGCGGAGGTTGTGGACGTTCACGAGTTGCTACAGAGCTTCCAGTTTTATTTCCTAGATTTTCTACGTTTCACTAATGAAAATACCGTGAATGTAAGTAACCGTTAAGTATGTTAGCTGCTCTGTCGACGGGTGTAGTCTAGAACCGGAGTACAACAGGGTTTAAAGGGGCTGGACAGGTAACTGCTGCTCCGTTGCGATGGGCAACCACGGGATGGAGGATCTGATCCCGCTGGTCAACCGCCTTCAAGACGTCATGGGCAGGGTGGGGCAGAACAGCAGCCTCCACCTGCCGCAGATCGTGGTGGTGGGCGGCCAGAGCGCGGGAAAGAGCTCCGTCCTGGAGAACTTTGTGGGCAGGTAAGTCTCACACCACGACCTCTGAATGAACTGTATCTACACAGTCCCCGTAACTGCTCACTACAGGTGGGTGAGGTTTAGGTAGTAAAAACAGGTACTACTTTCTAATAAAGCATACTAAATTATTAGTTATGGCTTTATTAACTTTAAAAAATAATTAAAGTAATTTAGAGTAACTTTTTATTCTTCGCTGTCAGTAGTTTAATACAGAGAACAGGTATATGTATCCAGCAAAGGTGGCCTGGGGTTCATCACCACATTTTAAATTTGACATCAGAACATGGTGAAAAAAAAAAAAGTCAAGATTGTATTTCTTTACACAAGGAAACGTAGAGAACATTATGACTTACTGGTTTATAACAAATGTTAAGTTCTCTTAAATGGAAATGAATACAGGAGCCATTTCATCCTACTTATTTATTTTTAATTAATGTATGTATTAGCTTTGTGTTGGTGGATGTGCGTCATAGGGGTTGTGTTGTGTATTGTGAGTCTCATTGTGAGTATGAATGATATGGATGTGTATTGATGTATCTGTTGTTATTGAAGTATTGTTTATGAATTGAAGGGGACCTCAGGCAGAGGAGCCATTGTTATAGCACAGTGACTAATGTGGATCTAACTAACTAACTAAATAAATAAATAATTATTAATATTATTAATAATGCTTTATATATCACATATATCATATATCCTGAACCAAAATCCATTAACAACAAACAACTTGTATAACCAGATTTGATAGCTATTAGAAAGCAAGAAACCCACCAGGTTTTATTAATATTTATAACAGCAGTATAAAAAAAAATACAAATATTACACACACAAGTACTTTTCACAACCTGGCAACCTGATGTTTGTTCTGATTAATGGCTTATAACTGATCATAAAGCATTAGTAAATGATTCATTAATCATCAATAAAGCTCTTGGGTACAACTTGAAATTCTTTCTTTCTAAAAACACCAGTAGTTACAGCTATAGCCTGCACATGCCTTTATATACAGTCTGTGGCTACAACTGATAAATCCTTTATAAAGATTGGATGAGCTGATATAACAGTACTGTTACTGTACTACCAAAAGTCTGTTATATCATTCGAATAGTCTTCGCTAATTCTAATAAAATACATTAAAATGTTTGAATTAATCAGTGAAAATGTGAATCTTTGTGTCCCTAGGTTCAGACTTTGAATTTGTCAGTTACTGCTTTTTGTTTGTAATGCTAACAGTAGAGCCATGGGGGCTGGGACATTCCCTAATACACAAAAATCCCATTGAATTGAAATGAGGACTTTAGGCTTTAACTGTAATGCATCGTTGAAATCAGTGTGTGTTCGTACATGATATATCATGGTCTCTGCACCAATGATATGGCTATATTTGTTGGTGTCAAGTGGTGGATGCCAGAGGTGGCAGTGTCTGTGCGACAGCAGCCAGGACCACAGCTTATCTCACACACAGCCTCTGTCTGGAAAGGGCTTGAGGTTAACATGGCTTTTGAAAAGTAATGAAAGGAAATGAAAACAGAGCTTTGTTGAGTCACACCTTATTCTGACCTTTAACAGATTTCACGCTCCTAAAAATAATGCAGCCCGCCCATGAATAACTGGGTTGTTTGGGTAAAATTAAAATGCAAGTGAGAGAGTTTGGACAGTTTATGAGGAGAAAGTTATTTCCATCTTGTCAGAAAGGAATGCTGGTGAGTAAGTCAGTAGTTTCCTATAGATAGAGGAGACAGCGAAGCTCTGTGATCAGGAGGAGACATCTGTATTGTCCAGAGCCATCCGGGCCTTAACGTGAAGCATTTCCAGGAACTGCAGTTGGCCGTTAATGCTCGCTTTCCTGAGTGTGTATTGATATTTTATCACGTACCTCACTTCTTTGTTTCAGCCATGACTGTGTTATGACACCCGTTTTGTGCAGGGCTGTGCCAGCTGTTTGATCCGGGACAGGATGTAGTAAAACAAACTTCCTGAATCTGATTTTAATAGGAAAGAGGAGGATAACATTTTGACAAACTGCATTCTGTTAATTTATGGTGAACATTACATTTAACTTGTAGTCTTTATATAAATCTGACAGGACTGATCATATGGAAAAACGTTTCTCAACCTTTTGTAGTTGCTGATGTTTTGTCAATTAAAGTAAAACTAACACAGACTTTGTTATGCCAGTGTCTGATAGAAAATCATACTGCTGTAGTGAAATGTCTTATCTGTGCATGTGATATAAAGTCATTAAAATGGTGGAAGTTAAGACTCTAGTACACATCAGTATCACATAGCAGTGGCAGTTTGCTGTGTGTGTGTGTGTGTGCTAGTATGTTGCCGTGTGTGTGTGGCGTGCGTGTGTTGCTGTGTCTGTGTGTTGTGTGTCTTGTGTGTTGTGTTGTGTGTGTCGTTGTCTGTTGTGTAGCTGTGTGTGTAGTGCGTGCGTGTGTGTGTTGTGTGCGTGCCGTATGCGTGCTGGCTGTGTATGTACATATGACGCATGGTGTGTGTGTTTGTGTGTGCGTGTGTGTGTGTGTGTGTGCGATGTTGGTCGTGTGTCGTTGCGTAGCGTGCGTGCAGTGCGTGTGCGTTGCTGTGTGTGTGTGTCGGGTGCGGTGCGTGCGTGTGTGCAGGTCGTTGTGGTGTGTGCGTGTGTGTGTGTGTGCGTGGTGGCTGCTGTTCAGATCAGCGAGTGATTCTGGCGTCATTCCTGTTGTGTGGTGTGTGTGCTGTGTGTGTGCGTGCGTGCGAGTGTGCGTGCGTGCGTTGAGTCCGCTCGCGTGTGCGGGTGTTGTGTAAGATGTGTTGCGCTTGACTAGTAGTGTGTGTGTGGTGCCTTGCGGCTGTTGCGTGTGTCGTGTTCTGTTTGTGGTGTGTGTCTCTCCTTGGTCAGTTCAGTCTTTCCTCTCCAACAGAGACTTCCTCCCACGTGGCTCAGGAATTGTCACTCGCAGACCTTTAATCCTCCAGCTGCTCCACGCTGACTCGGGTGGGTAAAACACTCATATTCACTCTTTTAGTGGATGTCCTGTCATTCTGTTATTTAAAGCTGCCACCAGATGGCAGTATGATATTTCACAATGACGGAGCCTGACTGGTGAGACAGTATTGTCATCTAATGTTCCCAACAGTAATATTGTGTTCTGTGATTGTGGCCCTCTGACCTCAGCAGCAGGATGTGCAGCGTGATCCCAAAAACAGTCTTCTGGAAACTTGCTGGAAGAGTAAAATTACAATTAAACAAACAACATTGTGTGTCCTAATGTGTTTTATTGGGTTCTTATGGCCTGAGCCACGAAAACGTAAAAAAAAAGCAGCTAACATTTTTATGCACTGTTCACGCTGATATTCAAAAGACCCCCCCTGAAATAATGATCAGAGAATGAATCCACTCTCATTTAACAGGGGCTTTTCTTCTACTTGTTGTGTGTCTTTCCAGAGTACGGGGAGTTTCTCCATTGTCAGAGAAAGAAGTTCACAGACTTTGATGAAATCCGCAAGGAGATAGAGGAAGAGACGCGCAGACTCACAGGATCTAATAAGGGAATCTGTCCTGTCCCCATCAACCTACGGATTCATTCACCACATGGTAACACAGTGTGTGTGTGTGTGTGTGTGTGTGGATGTTCCACATATCCATTCACATATATTGTCTGTTTCTCTGACATGTGTATGACCTGTATGTTTATCTGTACTCTTGTGTTTACAGTGCTGAACCTGACGCTCGTGGACCTTCCCGGCATCACCAAGGTGCCAGTAGGAGACCAGCCGGCAGATATAGAGTACCAGATACGAGACATGATCATGCAGTTCATCTGTAAGGACAACTGTCTCGTCCTGGCTGTCACACCAGCCAACACTGACCTGGCCAACTCTGATGCTCTCAAACTAGCCAAAGATGTCGACCCACAGGGTAGTACGTGTGTGTGTGTGTGCGTTACATTCAGATGTTTGTGTGTAGATGTTGGCAGGGTTGTTATATATTGTTCATGCTCCCACAGGTTTGAAATCTCATTTAGAGACTAAAACATGTCCTCTCTCTCTCATGTCCCCTTTAGGTCAGCGCACAATAGGTGTAATCACTAAGCTGGACCTGATGGATGAAGGAACAGATGCCCGGGAAATACTGGAGAACAGGTTGCTCCCTCTGCGCAGAGGTGTGCTGCTGTTTGTGTGCATGTGTGTATATGTGTGTGCATGTGTGTGTTCCCATGGCGTTGAGCCATCTGCCTGCAGTCCAGTCACACAGGAGGCTCTTTGGACGGGATCATGATTGTGTCTGTTATCACCAGTCAGAGTCTCAGTCTCGGCCAAGCACAGACATGGCTGAGACAAATTAAAACACAAATCACACATTAGGGGGTGATTATAGAATCAGATTTTAATTTTAATTCTTATTTTAACAAGATCATTACAAATCATTTCTTCATCTGAAATATTAAAGTCAGACCTGTTTTTACTCAGAATGATGCTGTGGTGACAGTGTCGAGGTCCCCCTTGAACTCTGTCACCACTGTCCCATAACAAATACACAGACAGGGCATGTAGTTTCACAGTTTCAAGATCCCCTAAAACCTCCATGTTCCTTCATCTGACACACAGATCTAATATCTGTGGATCTACAATCCACTTCAATAGATACGGCTCAGACATTCACAGCTCCTGTACAAAAGGATAATATTTTAAAATATTTTAAACATTTTGTTGTATTTTGGGTCACTTTAGGAAAAGTCAAACTTCAGGCTAAAAGACATTTAAGATATTTTTACTGCTGTTAAACGTCAGAACGGGTCAAATGTGACCAGAACAGTGTGTAAGGTTTAAGACACTGCACTTCTACCTTTTACAATTGATTTTAAAAGTCTTTAAACTAAACTTTAAATGTCCTCGCTCCTCCCCACAACAGATATTTCTTTGGTTTTATGTTCCACCCACATCACTATGGTCCTCCACTCCTTTCTTTTAAATGTTCCTTGTATTTCATAGCCCCTAAACTCTGGAACACACTGTCTCTGGACGTCAGAACAGCGAGCTGTCTTGGCCTTTTCAAAAAGAAATAAAAAATCTGTCTTTGATTTGGATCAATATTAATTCAGATTAATGTTCTGGCTTTTGCTTCAGTTTTCAACTTCTTATCATTCGTTTTCCCCCGTGTTTGTTTTATATTATTGACTTTTATTCATCATTTTACAGTTGTAGTACATTTTTAATCCGCACATCTTTTTTGTGTGTGTGTGTGTGTATTATTATTCCTCCGCCCGGCAACAGTCAGAGCGGCAAGAGCGGCAGCCATTTTGTTGTCAGGTTGTCAGTCCGTCCGTCTCATTCTCATGGACGTAATATCTCAGTAACACCTTGAAGGAACTTCTTCAAATTTGGCACAAACATTCATTTGGACTCAAGGATAAACTGGTTAGAGTTTGGTAGCTAAAGGTCAAAGGTCAAGATCAGTGTGACCTCGGTAAACACACAAATGGTTAATATTTTATATGACCGGATAAATAGGGGTGTAATCTGAAACTAGTCTGAGTGGCGGAGGGATACGACCACGAGGAGGTGATTCTAGTTTTAATGTGCTCCGTGAAGCACGTTGGGCTGCATGTGTGTATGAAAGGTGCTATGGAAATGAAATGAGTTGTGAGTGTGGTGTGGAGTGGGACAGAGGCAGCAGCTCCCGGAGCAGTGCAGTACAGACTAAAGCAGCACCAGGTGCTGGCTCCTTCATGCTTCTCTTACAGTATTAATGCATTAGCCATGGAAGCCACTGAAAGAACTGCCCTGTAACAGCATAGAGCTGAAGCATTAGATATGGAGCCTGCTACTATTACATCTATTACTATAGTAAATAGGGGATTTGGCCAGCTTTATACCATGTGCTCTGCTGTTGTACAAACACACCCACTTCCTGCTTGTATGTGCTGCAGTCGTAATGGAACAAATGGTGTTCTGGGAAGAGTTCCCAAGGACATGTCAGAATGCAAGTTGAATCTGTCTCACAAAAGAATCTTTGATTGTTCCTTTTTTCTTGTTGCACACTGTCTTCCTCACAAGGATCACATGCTCTTCATTTCCTGCCCCCCCCCCAGGTTACATCGGGGTAGTGAATCGCAGTCAGAAGGACATTGATGGGAAGAAGGACATTAAAGCTGCTCTGCTTGCAGAGAAGAAGTTCTTCCTGTCCCATCCGGCCTATAAACACATGGCTGAAAACATGGGCACCCCCTACCTACAAAGAACCCTCAACCAGGTTAAAGATGCACACACTTCCAGAGAAGTAAACACGTTGTGTATATGTATTCCTACTGATAGTGTTTGTTTGCAGCAACTGACAAACCACATCCGGGAGACTCTGCCCGCTTTCAGTTGTCATCTGCAGAGCCAGTTCCTGGCTTTGAACAAAGAGGCTGAGGAGTACAGACAATATAGTTCTGAAGACCCTGCACGCAGGACCAAGACACTGCTACAGTCAGTCACTCGCTCACTCTGTGTGTATGTCCGTTTATTCTCTTTTAAATCATTATCATCAGTTTCTCTCCCGCTCTGTCGGTTTCTGTCGTCCAGGTTAGTTCAGCGCTTGGCCGTCGACTTTGAGAAACTCATCGAGGGCTCAGGAGACAAAGTCGACACTGCGAATCTGTCAGGAGGTGCTCGGATCAACCGAATCTTCCACGAGCAATTCCCCTGTGAACTGGTCAAGGTGTGTGTGTGATTCTCTGATGTTTGTGCATATGAATGCTGTATGTGCATTAATAACTGACTGACAGCACACTGTCTGTCTTCAGATTGAGTCTGATGAGAGGAAGATGCGGCAGGAGATAAACTACGCCATCAGAAACATCCACGGCGTCAGGTAGACTCTGGCGCTCTGAGCTTAGATCCTGTCACATCATTCAGTGTTTGTTTCACCTTTCATGTCTTTGTCTTCTTACAGGACAGGTCTGTTCACTCCTGACCTGGCCTTTGAAGCCATAGTGAAGAAACAGATATCACGGTTAAAGGGGCCATGTCTTAAATTTATCGACCTGGTCAGTCAAGAACTAATCACCACTGTGTACGAGTGTATCAACAAGGTATAAAAGTGTGTGTATCATGTGTTGGTGCAATGTACTTTACGCCTCAAGGTGTCTAACAGTGTCCAGGTCTGTTCTCTCTCTCTAGCTCAGTTCCTTTCCCAAACTGCGGGACGAGACAGAGAGAATTGTAACCACTGAAATCCATGAACAAGAGAATAAATGCAGAGATCAGGTCATTCACAAATCAGTTTCACTAAACTCTGATTTCTGAGTGATGAAGTTCTGATTCTCACTGTATTAATGTGTGTCTGCTCTGTTCAGGTCTTGTTGCTCATTGGCATCCAGCTCGCCTACATAAATACCAAACACGAGGACTTCATTGGCTTCACTAAGTGAGTAACCTCATCATTTTGATTCCTCTGCCCGGCGACAGTCAGAACCGGAGGCCATTTGGTTTTCAGGTTTTCCTTCCGTCCCCTTCTCATGGACACGATGTCTCAGTAACTCCTTCATGGAACTTCTTCAAATTTGGCACAAACATTCACAAGGACACAGAGATGAATTGATTAGACTGTGGTGTTCAAAGTTCAAAGGTCAAGGTCACTCTGACCTCCCAAAAACACAGAGCACAGTAATTGTAACTAACTTTCACACAAATGGTTAATATTTTATTTGACTGGATAAACAGGGATGTAACCTGGAACTAGTCTGAGTGGCGGAAGGATACGACCGTGAAGTGGTGATTCTAGTTTTTAACATTAATGAACTATAAGATATTAACAAAGTAGTGGAGTAAATAAACGTGCTCTTCCTCTCTTTCAGCGCCCAGCAGACGTACAACCACAGCAATAAGACCGGGAAGGCAGGAAACCAGGTGAGACTTTCACCAGCACTGTGTTCATTATAACTGAGGTTAAGTGTTCAGTATCTTTAACCATGTGTATCTTAAGACATTCAGTCCATCTGCTGATCAGTTGGTCCATCAGTCCAGTCCCTCCTCAGAGGATGTGTCCCAGTGACCTTTGGTCTGCAGACGTGTCACCAGAGGGTTTAACTTCCCACTGAAGAGCCCAGTAATTTTAGCAGCATCACCCTGAGACCAAAGAGTAAAGCTTTGTCACTTTTAAGCAAAACAAACTCACGTCTGTCTGTTAATGACAGTGTGCTCCTCTTAGAAAGTCATATATGAAAACATGATGTGCTGCCAGCGGCTCTGTTCAGTGCACGTGAACTAAAGCTTTCTCATTGACCTCGAGTTACATGACGACACTGTCCCACGTGTGATGCATTAATCAATATTAATCAGAGTCATAGCTGCAGACAAGTGGGAGATTTTGTGTCGTTCATATTTTTCCTGAGGGGGCTTTTGGGTCCGATCATGCAGCCAGAGTTGATCTTGGCTTTTGACAGGAATGTGTGTGGAGCAAAAAGGAGCAGATTTTTAGTCTCATTCAGATTTGATTTATGTGTAACATAATATTTATGTGACACATTTGAAGGCAGGGATAATTAGAAGCACAATCCCAGTATAATTGTGTTTAGTCAGTAACCTTGATACACGATGATCACATTAGTAGAACAGCAGTACATTTTAATCACAGCTTTAATGGATTAAACATATGTGAATAACTTTTCACATGTTTCTTTGATAGTAATGTCAGCGTCATCCCAAAAACATTATTTTATAATTATATACATGTTTAATTTGACTCCTTCATGTGTTTTCCTCCAGGGTGTGGCTTCTCCCTCCAGTCTAATAGTAGGAGACCAATCACTTTAAGCCTTGTCACTCACTGCTGCCTCTGCTGGACATGTGTGGCTTTGTTGTAGCTTTATTAATCTTCTCTTTCATCATCTGTAACTGATTCACTGCTGACGTGTCCAACTCTTCCTCTCAGTGACAGTTTGCAGGACGGTCTCAGCCCACTAACCTTCCCCTGCTGCATTACTGTGTGATATTTCCTCAGTCTGCAGGATGTTGCTTCTTCTTCTGTTTCTTATTCAGCACACATCTGACTGGTGTTGTTATGCTTACTGTGTTTTCCTTCGCCTGTATCTAGCCTTTATCTTTCTGACCAGTTAAGTCGGCTGCTGGTCAGTTTCGGTGATTGCCTCATGGCTGCGTACTCTATCGAATATATTTCACAATCATCTAACGTTTTCCTCCAGTGTCAACTGTTTCTTTACTCTTCATTTCAGCTGCAGGGTTCCACATTGTGTGTCCTGCTTTTCACTCTCATAGGAGTTTTACTTGCTATCTAATTTTCCATAAACCTGTCCTCTCAGTGCCACTGATGCTGCTGCTGTCAGTCCTGTCATCTGAGTCCTTACCCTTCGCTGTTGTGCAGGTCATTCGTAAAGGCTGGCTGACCATCAGCAACATCGGCATCATGAAAGGCGGAGCCAAGGAGTTCTGGTTTATTCTCACTGCAGAGAGTCTGTCCTGGTTCAAAGATGATGAGGTGAGTCTTCTCATTATTCTGATTCCTCCTCCTTTTCTCATGCGTTCACACAATCAGATTACACCGAGATGAGTTAGAATGTTTAATGGCAGTTTATGTCCTAAATCAGAAAATCAGAACACAGCAGCACACGTGTTGTCACATCTTTATTAACTCATATTTGAGCTTGAAACAACATGTTCATAATGAAGTTTACAGATAATTGAGTAGAAAATCTTTCATGTGTTGATACTGAAGTTGGATGAAGTGTCCTGGCTCTGATGTCAGTGGGGCTGCCATCTGTCTGCCTGTCTGTGCCTGCTGTACAGGAGCAGAAGGTCTGCACAGCAAGTGTAGACAGGCAGACACACCACAACAGTCTCATCCTGTCACAGCTGACGTCATGAGGAGAGGGAGGGACAGAGAGAGAGAGCACGTCGCAGCATCTGTCTACTGATACAAACAAACACCTGTAAACCTTCACATCTGGATGAAACTGTGGACAGTGCTGCTGTAATGACACGGAGTGTGTAATGTTTGACATGGAGTGGTCGGTAGAAACAGTACTAATCAGTAATTGTTCTTGGTAACTCACTGAAGCTCTGTGACGTACCACACCACGAACTGTGTAACTAAGAGAGAATCTTTGACCCTGTTTCTGTTTTCTTTGCGTTTGTCTCCTGCCACCTGGACCTGCAACTGAGCCCCTCCATTTCCCCCATTCATTCCTGGGACGACCCCTCCCCGTCCGTCCCACTCTTCCCCTCACTCCCCCTTTTCTTCCTCTTCTGGGAGTTCAGGCATTTGGAGCGGCTCACTCTGACACAGCTGGAGCTGCCCCAAGCCAAACTGAGACACACACACACACACATGCAGCAACACACACAGAGGACAGGCTTGTATATACAGTATACAGCACACACGCACACTCTGATGTAAACAAACTGGCATGCAAATAGTGGAGACAAATATACAGTCACTCAGACAGACACATGGTCACTCTTCAGATAAACACTGCAGAGCTTAAACACAGTGTTCCCAGACGCAGCTCCAGGCGAGCACGTTACACACTCAGTGTTAGTTTCCTCTCACTGTCATCCACTTACTAACATTCACAAATCAGCACAGCCTTCGCACATCTGTGACAAATAATACAAAGACAGGTGCAGATATCTGGTGAGACTTCAGAGCAACAGACATTTCACAGTAAGTTTCACAACGAGGAGGAAAATTGAAATCTCTTCACTTCATTTTGCTTCAGACGATCAGCAGAAGATTTATCAGCTGTCTGTGTTTGAGGCCTGAGTGCTTTGTCAGTCACCCGTAGTATCACAGAAGATCAGATCTGCCTTTCCACACACACACACACACACACACACACACACACACACACACACACACACACA